CTCTCCGTTCCCCCCTGGCCCTTCCCGGTCCCCCCCCATTCCCCCCCACCCCCCCCCCTTCCCCCCCCCCCGCCATGTCCCCCCATGTCCCTTCTGTTCCCTCCCAGCCAGCCCTGATCCTCCCATGTGACCTCCATGTGTCTCCTGTGCTCCCCCGATTCTCCTATATCCCCCCTGCCCCCCAATTTTCCCATTTCCTCCCACCTCCCATTCTGCCCTCCATATCCCCTCCCCACCTCCCCAGTCTCCCTATGACCCCCCCTATACACCCTCTGAACCTCCCAGGTCCTTCCCTTACCTTCCTGTGTCCCACCCCCCATGTGCCATCCCCAACCCTCTCATGTTCCCCCCCATTTCCCCCTATCTCCTCCCATATCTCTCTCTGTCCCCGCCATGTTCTCCCTTGACCACCCCATGTCCCCCCAGGTCACCCCCGGTTCTTCAACCAGCTTTTCTCAGGGCTGGACCACCACGCCCTGGCTGGGCGGTTCCTCACCGAGACCCTCAACACGAGCCCGTGAGCTCCCGACACCCCCAAATGGGGGCTGGCATGTGGGGGGACTCCCCCCTCCCCCAGATCCACTCACGAGGGGCCCCTGGTGCTGATAGAGTGGGAGGTGCTGGGGGGAGGATTTTGGGGGTGTTGAGGAGCCCAGATGAAAGGGACCTCCAAAACCCTGTCCTGACTCCCTTGATCTAGCCCCCAGTGCTGGTGTTGATGGAAGGGGAGTTCTGGGGAGAGGGTTTTGGGTGCTGTGTTTTGAGGTGCTGAGGCTCTGGGGGGAGGTGTTTGGGGTTCTGAGGTTTCAGGTGGAGGGGAACCCTCTGACTGCTGCTGGGCCCTTCCAGATACACATATGAGGTGGCCCCGGTGCTGGTGCTGATGGAGGAGCAGGTCCTGGCCAAGCTCCGAGAACTTGTGGGGTGGAGCAGCGGTGATGGGATCTTTGCTCCCGGTATCCCAGACCCTTCCTGAGGGTTATCCCTGTCCACCCTCTACCCCTGGCAGCCTGTCCATGGTGCCCCAGGGATGACATAGAGGTCCCTGTCCCTGGGCAGGGGGCTCTATGTCCAACATGTTGGCCATGAATGTGGCGCGATTCCAGCGTTTTCCAGAGAGCCGGAGCAGAGGGAACTGGGACCTGCCTCGCTTGGGCCTGTTTGCATCCCAGGAGGTGGGAGTGGGGGGTTCCAGGTCACCCCAAAACCTGATCCTCAGGATCATCTTAATTTGGATCCATGAGGTCACCCCAAACCCGGTCCCTGGGGTCACCTCGAAATCTGATCCATGGGGTCACCCCAAGTCTGGTCCCTGAGATTACCCAAAATCTGGGGTTACCCCAAGTCTGGTCCCTGAGGTTACTCAAAATCTGGTTCCTGGGTCCCCCCAATCCTGGTCCTGTTTTCCTGTCCAGAGCCATTATTCCATCCTAAAAGGAGCTGCTCTCCTGGGAATTGGCACAGACAATGTTCACCTGGTGCGGACAGACGAGAGGTGGGTGCTGGGAGGTCCTGGGGGGCCCCAGGTCAAGGGGTCCCTCCTTGTCTCCATCCCTCTCCCTTCCCCTCAGGGGGAAGATGATCCCAGAAGAGCTGGAGAAGGAGATCCAGAGGGTGAAAGCTGAGGTCAGGAGAGGCTGCACCCCCCCATGTCCCCAAAGTCCGTCAAACTCCCCAGTGCCTCCCCAGTATTCCCAATGGCCTTCACAGTATTCCCAAAGCTCCTTCAATGTCCGTGTATCCCCCTCTAAGTCCCCAAAGCCTCTCCAGTGTTCCCAAAGCCATTTCCATGTCCACAAAACCCCCCCATGTTCCCCCAATATCTCCCCAAATAACCTGAATCTCCTCCAATTCCCCCCTCCCATCCTTTCAACTCTCCAATGCACCCAATGTCCCCTGTCCTCCCAGGCCTCCTGTCCCCCCTTAAAGTCCTCTATCTGCCCCAGAGTCCTCTGAATCCTGTTTCTTGCACCCCCAATGTTCCCCAGTATCCTCCGATCCCCCCAATCTACCTCCTGAGCCTCCTCAAAGTCCCCCCAAATGCCCACCAAGCCTTCCTAGGTCAACCAAAACCCCTCCAGATCCCCTTCAAATCACCCCCAAAGCTTGCCCAAATGCTCCCTTCTTTGTCTGTGCCACCATCCTGGCTACTCTCAACCCTCTGTGTCCCCCTGTCCCTCAAATCCCCCTCAAGCCTCCCCAGGTCCCCCCCAAACCCCCTCAGATCCTCTGCAAATCCCCCTCAACCCCTCCCAGATTCCCCCCAAGCCCCCCCGAATCTCTCTCAAATGGCCCCCCCAAGGACATGGAGCCCCTTTGTCTGTGCCACCATCCTGGCCACCTTCAACTCCCTGTACCCCACTGCCTTCTACCCCCTTCCATGCCTCCTGCACCCCCCAACACCCCCAGACCCCTCCCTAATGCTCCCCAGGGCTCAGAGCCCCTCTTCGTGTGTGCCACAAGTGGCACCACTGTCCTGGGTACCTTTGACCCGCTGGATGCCATCGCTGACGTCTGTGCCCGCCACGGGCTGTGGCTGCATGTGGATGTGAGTTCGGTGGGGGTCTCTGGTTGTGGGGTGCCCGAGGATCCCCTTATGGGTGCTGATCCCGCTTTCCCTGCAGGCAGCATGGGGGGGCAGTGCCCTCCTCTCCCCCCAACTCCGTCACCTTCTTGCTGGCATCCACAGGTGTGTCCCTCCCCCTGCCCCCAAAAAAGGCTCCCATGCTTCCCCCTCCGAGTTTTTGGGGATGCTCTTTTCCCCACAGGGCCTCCCCAAACTCTGCTGTTTTCCCCCCACCAGAGCTGACTCAGTGACCTGGAACCCCCACAAGCTGTTGATGGTGGGGTTGCAGTGCTCGGCATTCTTGCTCCGTGACAGCTCTGTAGGTGCCCTGCATCTTGAATTCCTGCCTCTGGGATGCCTCTCTGGGCTCCCTCATTAATTTTGGTGCCCCCTGCCCCTCCCAGGGGCTCCTGCAGCGCTGCCACGGTGTGGGGGCCTCGTACCTGTTCCAGAGGGACAAGTTCTATGACGTGTCCCTGGACACAGGGGACAAGAGCCCCCAGTGTGGCCGCCGCGCCGACGGCCTCAAGCTCTGGATCCTCTGGAAAGCTGTGGGAACCCGGGGACTGGGACAGCGTGTGGAGCGGGCATTTGCTGCTACTCGGTGAGCCCTGGGATCGGGGGAACCCTCCACCTCTCAAACTGGGCTTCACCCCTTTTTTCCCCCCAGGTATCTGCTGGAGCAGGTGAAGAGGAGGGAGGGATTCCAGCTGGTGACAGAGGTAGGGATGATACTAGAATATGGGATGTGGACACCCAAGAGTCCTGGAGGCTGGAATGCCACAGGTCTGAATCGTCCTGGAGGTTTAACTCCCAGGGGATTAATCCTGAAGATTTGAATCCACAAGGTTTAAATCCTAGAGTTTTCAATCCCAGAGGCTGAAATCTCAGATATTTGAATTGTCCCAGAAGTTAAAATCTTGGAGGTTTAAATCCCTGAGGACAAATCCCAGAAGTTTAAATCCTAGAGTCTGAAATCCTGCAGATTGGAATTCCAGAGGTTTAAATAATCCCAGGGGTTGAAATCCCAGAGGTTTAAATCCTGGAGATTTTAAATCATTCTCCAGAAGTTTGAATCCCTGAGGATTAACCCCAGAGGCTGAAGCCCTGGAGATTTAAATCCTCAAATTTACATCTCAGAGATTTAAATAATCCTGGAGTTTTAAATCATCCTGGAAGATTCCCTTTTGGAGTTTTAAATCCTGGAGGATTAAATCCTGCAGGTTCCAGTCCCAGACAATTATATACACATGGCTGAATTCCTGGAGTTCCGATTCCCCATCAAATTCTGGGAATTGGGTGATTGGCTATGATCTCCTTCCTCTTCCTCTCCCCGCAGCCGGAATTCATCAACCTCTGCTTCTGGTTCATCCCACCCAGCCTGCGGGGCCAGGAAAGCTCTCCGGAATTCTGGGACAAACTGGGAAAGGTGAGCTCAGAATTCCAAATTCCCCTCCACAACAGCCCTCCAAATCCCGCAAAAAAATCACCCAAAAATAAAACCAAAATCCTCCTGAAATGGTGCTTCCCCCTAGGTGGCCCCAGCCATCAAGGAAAAGATGATCCGGAGGGGCTCCATGATGGTGGGATACCAACCTCATGGATCCCGGGTCAACTTTTTCCGACAAATTATCACCAATCCTGCTGTCACCCGCCAGGACCTGGACTTCTTCCTGGATGAGATCCAGGAATTGGGATGGGATCTGTGAGCACTCCCAAAAACTCCAATGAAAGACCCCCAAACCTGCCCACCATCCCTGAGGAAGAGGGGAGCAGAGTCTTGATTATCTCCCCATATCCCAAAATGGAAATGTCCCCAAAATTCCACGCTTATGGAATAAACCAGCATTTTATGGTCCTGATCTGATAATAATTTAACTCCCTGACCCAAAATGGGGTTTGGGGTGTAGGGGGGTCCCTCAATTCCCCTGGAAGCTCCGGAGGGGGTTGTGGATTTTGGAATCAGGATGTTGTGGCCTTGTGACTCTTGAAATTCCCATGACTTCTTGAAGCTACAGAGGTTGGAATTTGTATGGAAGGGGATCTGTCAGCACCCGGAAAACTCTTGGGAGAGTACTGCCAAACCTGCTGCCTCCATCCCTGAGGAAGTGGAGCAGAGCCTAGACTTCCTTCTGGAATTTTTAAATCAGGAATAAATCAGCGCTTGATCCCAAAATTCCACATTCATGGAATAAAACAGCATTTAATGGTCCCAATTTTACATTGATTTGATATCACACCACTCTCCCCACAGAATGGGGTTTGAAGGTCCCTCAATCCCCCTGGAGGCTCTGGAGGAAGTCGAGAATTCCAGGATTAAGCCGGGCGTGCTCAAGGCAGGATAGGAGCCGGGACACCGTGGCCTCCTGTCGCTCCCGCCGCCACCACTCACGCAGCATCTCAAAATTCCAGAGGATGGGATTGCAGGGATTTTCCTCCTGGATCTGCTCCAGCCGGCTCTGCTCCAGCCCTAGATGTAGAATTCCTACTTCCTGCCACTCTTTTCCCAATCTTTTGGCGACTAGCATCAATTCCTTCTCCGTCAAGCGCCGGGGATTCATAAGTGGAGCTGGAATCCCACCAGGAAGACGTCCTGAAGTGGGATCCCCCCTCACCGTGGGGGTGTCCCCATTAGGCTCACAGGGAGTTTCCTCCGGGATTTTCTCTTCCAGGGGCAGCTGGAAGCGCTGGATGAGGTCGAGGCGGCCAAGTTGCCGCAGGAACCCAGCGGTCACACGCAGGGAATTCCCCGGGAAACGCTGGAGGAGGATGCGGCACAACTCAGGGCGCGATGCTGAGCGCAAAAGCCCGCCAGGAACCTGCCCTTCCATCAGGAACTTGAGGGTCTCAAATTGCTCCTCCGGGAGAGCTTGGTGCACCTCCAGCAGCGTCCCCCGCTCGTCCTTTGCCATCAGGGCAAAAAATCTCGCAGGGAAGTAGGGTCACTCCTGGGACACAACGGTTAGGAGAGAGGGGTCACCACGCAGCCCAAAAAGTGGAGAAAAAAGAGGGCCACCCCTGGGCCCCAAAAATTCGGGGTGGGGGTGTAAAGGGGTCACTTTGTGCTCCAGAAACTAGAGGTAGATGGGTCACCGAGGTGTCTCCCGTGCCCCCACCCTGCCTCGGGACTGAGCCCTCCCAGTGTCCCCCTAGAGCACCCCACCCCGCCCTGGGCCTTACACTCCCAAGTGTCACCCCAGTGCCCCCACTCTGTCCTGGCTCCCCACGATGTCCCCGCCGTGTGGCTACTGCCCTTTGTTCCGGGTCCCCACGGTCTCGCGGGGCCCTCGGTGCCCCCCTAGCCCGGATCCCCACCGTTCTTCCCCCAAGACCCCGTTCTCTCCCGCGCCCCCGCCCCGCTCTCACCGCGCTGTGCTCCCGCCAAGGCGGTTCCGCGCTGGGGAGCGGCGCAGCGGCCCCGGCCGGTGGGCGTGGCCTCTGATCCCGCCACAGCGGCTGCCTTGGCAACGGGGGCGGGGCTTGGTTCGAAGGGAGGGGGCGCGTCCTGCCCGGGGCGCGCCTCCACTTGAAGGGGCGCGGCCTGGGGCCGACCGTGGCGGGCTCCGGGAATCGTTTGGGAGCTTCGGGGGCGGTTCGGGGGTGTGGGGAGTGAGTCTTGGGCCCACTACCCAGACTCGAGTGCCCCAAGTCCCCCCAGAACCCCCCAATAATCTTCGATCCGCCCCCCAATCCTTCAGTCACTTCCAGTACCCCCAAGTCTCTCAGTCCCCCCAGTAACCCTCAATCCCTCAAACCTCTGGTATTCCCCAGTCACTCCCATTAACCCCCAATCCCCTGGTGCCCCCAGTTCTTCCAGTGGTCCAGTCCCTCTCAGTATTCTCCAGTCCCTCCATTCGCCCAGTTCCCCCCAGTAAACCTGAGTAACGCCTCCGTAATCTCTGCAATTCCACAGTCCCTCTCTGCAGTATCCCCCAGCACCCCCCGGTCCTCCAGCATCCTCCAGTACCACCCAGGCCCACTAGTGTCCCCCTAATTCCCCAGTCTCCCTAATTCCCCAGTTCCTCCAGTACTTCCCAATCCTCCCATTAACCTCCAGTTTCTCCAGCCCACACAGACTCCCCCAATTCCCCATCTTCTCCATTATCACTGACACCCCAATATCCCCCAGTCTCTGCAGTCACCCCAGTATCGCCCAATCCCCCAGTAGCCCCCATATCGCTGTGTATCCCCCATATCGCCGTGTATCCCCCAAACTCCCCAGCGTCCCTGAACTACAACCTCCCTAAAATATCCCCCCCACAGTGTTCCCCCAAACCAGACTGAGCTGGACCCCCGACTCCCCCAAGTCCACCTCACCACTCATGGTGGGAGGTCCTTATTGTCCCTCCCTAATTTTTTTGGGATGTGGGCTCCTTCCCGGGGGAGGGTTTTTTTTGGGGGAGGGGCGCCCTGGGCGGACGCGGGGGGAGTCGGAGGCGTGCTCTTTTCCATGGGAAGCTGAACTCACCCCTCGCAAGGTTCCTGATGTCAGTTTTTCAGAGGCACTTGGCAGGCCGAGTTCTAGGAGGGGGCAGCTTGGGTCCGGGAGGAATCCTGCTCTGTTTGTAATTCTCAGCGGCAGAATCCTGCTTGCGGCCAAGGGTCCCTGGACACGAACGGCAGCCCTTTTCCATGGGAAACAAATCCTCCAGGATCCTGAGGTCAGCTGGTCAGAGGCGTTTGGCACTGCAGGTACAGCCCAAGTTCTAGGTAGGGCAGCTTGTGTCCGTGAGGAATCCTGCTCCATCCGTAATTATCGGAGGCAGAAGCCTGCTCGTGGCCCCTGGACATGAACAGCTGCCCTTTTTCTGTGGGAATGAAAACTCACCCCCCAGGTTCCTGATGGCAGTTTGTCAGAGGTATTTGGCACTTCAAGGGCAGCCCAGGTTATAGGTGGGAGCAGCTTGTGTCCGGGAGGACTCCTGTTCTGTTCGTAATTTTCGGAGGCAGAAGCCCGCTTCAGGCCACTGGGGTCCTGGACACAAACTGCATCCCTTTTCCATGGGAAAGAAAACTCATGATGTCCTGATGTCCATTTGTCAGAGGTACTTGGCACTTCAAGGGCAGCCCAACTTTTGGATGGGGGAAGCAAGGCACCCCAGTATTTCTGGGGCAGACAAAGGGCTGGGCAGGCGATGGAATCACACAGCAGGGTCTTTCTTCCCCTCTCTGCAAGGTGCAGCTCCTCCAGGCGTGACCAGCTCTTTTCCGAGGATCAACCAGTGCATACCTGCAGAGGGAGCTCCTATTCCAGGGGGTCCAATGGGGTTTTCTTGAGTGTTCCTCCCGGAACCACGTTTAGAGCACCCAACAGGGGCTGGGAAGCAGCTACATGCACCCAGGCATGGAGCACTGCTTCAAGAAAATGCCGAGGGAAACCCCTTAATCCAATGGGAAGCACCTGAGCAGGCAGGGCAGCATGCGGGGTCTCAGGGGAGAGCTTTTCAACTTTCCCCTTTTATCTTGTCAGTCGCTTGACAGGGGGACTTTATAGCGTTCCCTGAAAAGAGAGGGCTTATTAGGAGAAAAGGGTGCTAAATTGAGGGGGAAAAATCTTCCTTTTCCATAATTGTGTGTGTTCAAATTGTGGGGAAATCCACTTTCCTTGCAATTTTATTTGTCTCAATGCAAGGAAGGCCTGCCTTTTCTATGCCTTTAGGGGCATTAATTGACAGGGAATCCCCTTTTTCCATTATTTTCCAGTTTAAATGGAAGGGGAAAACCTTGGCCATGCTTTTTCATGGGTTTGAATTAAGAGTAACTCCCCCCCTTTCATTGTCCTAGGGTTTAAACTGACGGTGAAGCCCAGCTGTCCCCCATTTTTAAGGGTTTGGATTGAGAGGAAAACCCCCCTTTTTCCATCACTGAAGATTTAAAGTGAGGAAAACCCCTATCTTCCCAGTATTTTAGGGGATTAAATTATAGGGGGGAAGCCATTTATTTGACATTGCATCGGTTTAAGTGGAGGTAACTGCCCCATTTCCTCATTTTAAGGGATTCACTTAAAGGAAGCTCTGCCTTTTTTAGCATTTTAAGGGTTTAAAACTGCTTTTCAGGGCACTTCTACTCATGCCCCAGGAGCAAATATCTCAGATGAAAGTGAGCCTGGCATGTATATAACAGTAATACCACCCAGGAGTCTATTATTTTTCTTATTTTTATTTATAATAGAGATATTATATTATATTTATAATACAGATAAGAGGTCACCGTACACCATTCATATCATTATTATTCTTCTCCATTCTACTTAGTTACATGTGGAGTACTGCTTAGTGGTCATTAAGGAACAATTATGTAAGTTAACAACAAATTGTCCGATTTACCTAGCTCTACTACCAAAACAAAGTTTTATTTCTTACCAGTTTTCTGTCTTTTTGCTCAAAGTATTTGTAGTAAAAAAGAAAGTATTGCTCTTTCACAGAAGAAGTTTAGGGTTACAGTTTTCTTCTATATGAAGCCCTTTACTCACCTTGAAATGAAATCAGAGGAGCCAAACAGCTGCATCTCATCTGCAGGCTTTTATACCTTGTGGGATTTGTCTCCTCCCTTTTCCTGGGCACGGTGGGAATGAGAGGTGGGCCCAATTAGGGGTATATTGACCCCAGCCTTTGCTAAGGGGCTTTATTCCCTCTTTGGGATCACCTGGGGTAAGAGCTCTCCTCTCATTTCAGTGAAGAGGTTCTTTTGGCTTATCCCAGCTTGTTTTTAGCAGATGCTTTTTAGTATCTAAAGCAATAAAGGCTTTGAAGAGACTGTAAAGAAAAGGGTATTGTACACAGGGAGTATTTAAATTCATGATTTTGGATTGTGTGTTTAGGGGTGGTAAGGTGCTTTTGTAATTTCTGGTTTTGTTGGTTTTTTGTTTGTTTTTTTTTTTTTTTTTTTTTGGAGCGCAGCTTCTTGAAGTTCTAGGCTGTGTTGAGTATGACACTTCAGATTTTTTTCAGCAGATTCATCATGTCACAAAAGGGTTCTGCCTGGTGTCAAAGATAACGTTTGAAATGAAGGATTTAGAGGAGTAAGTTGAGAATTGTTACCAGGAGAGGGAGGGTGAGTGGGGCACCTGGTTAGGAGTTACTGTTGGGCGCGTTTGAAGGCCGCACAGTGGGGAATGGCGTCCATTTGAGGACCCCCTAAAGCTTTTCACAACCACAGGAGATGCGTTTACACATTTCACAGCACACAAGTGCATCCACAGCACTCAAAGAAATGCCATGTAACTTTGCCTCTCACTAACCCAGTTGTGAATCATAGTAACAGCCATAATCTTAGACTCTAGGACCTAGGCACACTTAGGAGAGGGCGGGTAGCCAACTTGTTGGCATTGAGCCTATATGCCACTAAACTCATCTATTGATTTTGGTTTTCTTTCTTGTAGCTGACTAAGAGGCTAACCAGCAATCATAGCACCTTCCAAGGCAGACTCATTTCAGGTCTAACATGGATTCATGTTGCCGTCATCCAAAAGGTAAATCGGGGGCCATGGCCTGGAGATAGGATGATAATAGGATAGCGGGTTGGAAATTCTTGGGACAGGTTTGAAAATTAGCAAAACGGAAAGGGATATCCTTTAAGGGGCCTCTTAGGACAGCTAAAGGAAATGGCTCTACTTTGATTGCTGGTGAAGGGTGTGCAGCTCAAAGCAGTTCCAGTCTGTCCAGTCTGTGTTGTGTTGTCTAGTATGTCTTTGGGATCCCTCAGATCAGATATCTCTGCCTTTTCCCCCGGAGGATCTTATCACAACCATCAGCCATCATCTCTAAATTCCTGAACATTCACGTTTCTCAGCACCACGTCAATATCGTTTGTTCCTTTTCATTCTTTTTCACAGCCACGTGCTGTAACATTGTGGGACTTTGTTGTGGTTTTAAAGCATTAGCTAAAAAATCACTAGAAAACTTACTCATTTCTTGCTGTGAGATATGGATTAGAAGAAGAACAAAACAGACTTAAAACTTAAAAGGAATAAAGAAAGTTATTGACAAAACTACAAGAAAAAGAAACCAGGATAAAACTTCCAGAAATCATTTTTCCCCACTACCCAACCGTTCTCTTGATCGCATGACAACATAGAGACAAAAGAACCTGGTGTTTAAAACAGTCTTAACTTTGCTATAGTCTTTTCATCAGTCTTTGTAGAGAAAAAGACTCTTATCTTCTGCCAAGCTATGGAGTTTTTCACAAGAAAACCATTTTCTCATGGCTTTCTATTTTTCTGATGCCAGCTGGCCAGAAACTCTGTCATCAGTTCTTTCCTCCCATTTCACACCACTCTGAGGTTTTTTTGGGCCATGAAGTCAAGGGGTGTCATTTTAAGGATGAGTTACTCAAAGGCAAAAGTTCTCTTCATCTGTCTCTGTGAGCATCTCTGGAAACAGAAGTTTCCTCTTTGCCTCTTAAAGGCCACAAATTTTCAACAACTCTCACTTCTCCGTTTC